CATGACCTGAGCTGAAATCAAGAGTCAGATGCTTAACCAATGAGTCACCCAGGTGCCCCTCAAAAGAAATATTTCATAAAATTGACTATATGCTCGATATATATCCAAAAGATTAATACCATAGAGAATTTATTTCTAATTTCTGCTATTTATATGACCAAAGAATTAATAACACAGAGAAAGTGTTTCTAAAGTCAGTGAAGTACACTAGAAATCAGCAACTGAAAGGGAACTATAGAATTAGAAACTGTCTAATATAGTTCAAAATAAGCAACCACAATGGGAATATTATACACTGAAAGATAATTAAAATACGATCTATAGAAACTGGAGGGTGTGAAGATTTTGTAAAAATTGTATAGTACATCTATGAGATAAAGAGCAGTACTGTTAAAATATATTCAAAATAAAATTCTGAGTTATTTTTTAACAAATTTTACTATCCTGATGAACGGAAAAATTTTCTAGGAAGATGTCCATCAACAGAATTATTCAAGAAAAGGACAAAAACTTGAATAAAATAACCTTAGAAGACATTAAAAAATAGGAAATGCTTTCTCTACCAACAATGACCCAGGTTCATCTGGCATTTTCAAACCTTAAAGGAACAGATACAGCTTCTGTTATTTAAACAGCTATAAATAAATTAAAAAAATTTTCAAAAGGGGCGCCTGTGTGGCTTAGTCGGTTGAGTTTTCAACTCTTGATATCAGCGCAGGTCATGATCCCAGGTTTGTGGGATCAAGCCCCGTGTGGGGCTCTGTGCTGAGCATGAAGCCCGCTTAAGACTGTCTCTCTCTCCCCCCTCAGGCTCTCTCCTCTCTCCCTAATTTATAAATTTAAAATAATTTATAAATAAGCAGATATAAAAATATTATAACTCTTATTTATTAAATAAAATAGTGCTAGCTTCTTTCTAAGAATTAAAAATGTAGAATGGCTCAAATATCATGAAAATTTATTTCTAGCTCACTTTTGCAGCTCCAGTTCCAACAAGAATTGGAAAAAAGTAAAATTTTGTGGAAGAAACAAAAACGTAATTAATTTAAAATGCCCTACTTAGAAAACCCAAGACAAATGAAAAACAACTAGAATAAGAGAGTTCAATAAAGTGGCATCACACAAAATAACCATTCCAAAATTAATACCTTGGGGCATTTGCTGTCTCAGTCGTTGAAGCATGTGACTCATGATCTTGGGATTGTGAGTTCAAGCTCCAAGTTGGGTGTAGAGGTACTTTAAAAAGAAAATCTTTAAAAAAATAACTACTATCTTTATTACCAATTAGAAAATGTAATGGTTAAAAAAAATGCCATTTCTAATAGCAACAAAAACTAGAGCATACCTCTTCAGATGTAATAAGAAATATTCAAGACACATATGAAGCAAGACATAATTTTCTCTTTCCAAAATATCAACAAAGACCTAAATGAATGGAGAGGTAAACTACATTCAGCTCTCCCAAACCACTCTCTAAATCCAATGAAATTCCAATTTTAAAAAGTCCCAATTCAATTTTCACTACCATGGCAAAAATGATTCCAAAGATCACCTAGAAGATCAAAACCAAGAAGTTAAAAAAGTACGTATTAAGGACTTAGCGTACCAGATAACAATGCACCTAGAAATATCTAGAAATATACAGCTAGAATAATTAAAATAATAATGTATTGGCTGAAAGAAATCGATCAATGGAACAGAGTGGTGGGTCTAGACACAGATCTGTGTATCTAGATAGAGATTCAGTATAAGGATAAAGTTTGTATTTCAAATTAGTGGCAAGGGCAGCTAGGTGGCTCAGTCAGTTAACCATCTCACTCTGATTTCGGCTCAGGTCATGATCTCGTGGTTCGTGAGTTCAAGCCCCGCATCGACAGCTGACATCTGACAGCCAGAGTCTGGAGCCTGCTTCGGATTCTGTGTCTCCCTCTCTCTCTGCCCTTCCCCTGCTCACACTCTGTCTCTCTATCTATCTCTCAAAAATAAATAAACATCAAAAAAATTTTTTTTTAAATTAGCAAAATTGGACGGTTATCAAATAAATGACGGTGGAAAATGGGCAAGTGGTTATCCATTTGGGGCCCTAACTCATGCATAGACAAGAATAGATTTTGAGTGAATTAAATGTATAAATTGGAAAGATCTTCCTGAAAAACACAGTAACACAAAAACTCCGTAATAAAAAGGACTGAAAAATTTGATAATACAAATGTCAAAATTCAGTAGAACAAATGGCTTGTGAAGTTAATAGCCTTCACAATTCCACTTTATCCAAAGCACAAAAACAGGCAAAAGAGTTACCCTGCCTGGAGGTGCGTGGGGAAGAAAAGAAGTAACAGGAAAGGAACCTGGGGGTGGGAGAGCATCAGGGTCCTAGTAATGTATTTCCTTAATGTTGTGTTTCTTGATCTGGACGCTGACACATGAAGATGGTTCAGACTGTAAAATTTCAGAGGATATACACTTATGAGTACTTTTCCTGTGGCAAATTTAGGGAGTACCATAAGGAAATAAGGAGGGATGGGAGAGATCGACATGAAATTTTTCCTCGTGATGTTACATTAATCTATGTTTTATCTGTTTATGAAGAAGCATATACTAGTTGCGTAATTTTTTTAAAGTGAAAAATGATAAAGGCTACATATAAGACATACAACATTCAAGACTTATGATCCAAGTATAATCAAGACAATTCTATAGGGCACACTCTACCTGTGAATCTAGTATGTTGGAAATTTCGCATTCACCAACATTTACTTCATCCAACTGCAAGGAAAACAAGTTTCTGGCAACCTGGACAAAATCTGAAATGGAACACATTTTAGTAGGAACACAACATTTAACCTCATCTAAATACATCTTTACCTTTTTTTAAATGAAGTTGAAGCTATGCATTAAAACTAACGTTTCAAATTTAATTTACTTCAATGAATTACCTTAAAGTGGTATTAACTGAAGTGACAAATATAAGCTCAAATAAACAGTAAGTAAGAGATAAACCAATTTTAACTCACTTGAGTTAAATTCGCTGAGGTAAATAAATCAGTTAAGTAACAATAAAGCACATACATATCGTAGGTACATCTATTTTCTCCAACTCTTACTACGAGCAAGAACTTTCTCTGAAATATACGACAATATTGTGACTTGTAGCTTTTTTAGCTGGAACCGGAGGTTTAACAAAAATAATAATAGCAGCAGCTAATGTTTACGGAACAGCCTTCTAGTGCTAGGCACAGTGCTTTGCTATTTCATCCTCCCATTGAGGATGGGTAGGTCCTCTTATCCTCTTTGTTCTACACACTGCGGCTAAGAGAAGTTAACTGCCAAACTTCCCAAGGCTGCTTGGCAAGTAAGTAGCAGAGCAGGACTCAAATGAAGGTCTAACTCCAAGCCTGATGCTGGCTAGCAAACTGTAAGCTTCTTCAGACATGAGTGTGACCCATCCATCCTCAGATTTTTGAATTTTAGCTATTATATTTTTAATTTCCAAGGATCCTTTTCGTATTCTCTGATTGTTCCTAGTCTATAATATCTTACTCTTTATATCACGGATGCCTTATCTTTGTTTACCTTTTCAGAGATGTTCATTATGGTTTGTCTGAAGTTCTCTCCCACTCTTGCATTATTCCTCATTTTTCAGGGTTCCTGTTTTTCTCTTTGTCAGACAGTTTGGGGCTCTTATATTTTGTCAGAGAATTTCTGCAAGTGTCTGGTGACCCTTGGCTATGAGTGCATATTTAACAAAAATCACCACCAAAACACACATTGGAAATCCTGTGTGCATAACTTGCCTTGTCAACTGGCTGGTTTCACTACAGAGCAATCAGGTGGCCAACTGACACCTTGGGGTCTTGCCTATAAACATGGCTGCAAAATTCACCAAGCAATCTGGGTGTGTGTTGTGAGTGATAACTCAACATACACTCCTCCAAATTCCCTGACCGCTGGCAGCTATAGGTTCAGAATCTCTCTGGTTTAATTTCCCAAGAGGATATACTTCTTTTCCTCAGCAGGTATAAGGCAGTGCTAAATCCTGGGTTGCTTGAGAGGAGGCAGGTAATAGCATAAATACTCCTTGCACAGATTTCTAACAATCCTATTTGAAATGCCCTGCCTATACCTACCCTTCAGAAATACCTGATACTTTTAATTCCTAATTCTTTTCAGTGATAAATCAGCTTGTTCTCCATTGTGGTTCCCCCATCTCTTCAGACACATGGGCTTTGTTGCCTCTATTTACTAATTCATTTAGTTTCTTCATCCATGTTCTGTCCTTATATATTGTGGTTTTAGTTATACATGCAATTTCTTTTTTGTTCTCTTCATTATTTGGGGGTGATTTTCAAAAGGAGAGGAAAGGAAACATATTTTTTTTTATCACTTTGAAACCAAAAAGCGAATTCTTTTTTAGTAATACAGATGCTTTAAAAATGATACAATATTTCATCTACTGTATAAGAAAAAAATTAAATACTGAATGCTGTCAAGGATACAAAAAACTGTTAATTCAACAAATTCATATGTAAAATATCTCTTGAAAACAACTTATCAATACCTATCAGAAGTATAAACCACTTGTGGGAATTTATCTAAGCAGGAAAAAAACTATGATGTTAAATATAGAATTACCTATAATACCAGCTACTGAGAGACTATTAAAATCCCAGAAGTGGAAAGGCTTAATATTATAGTATATCAACTAAGTATGTCAATATCATGCTAATTTTATAAGAATAATTATACAGTACCATAAAAATATTTATTCTGTCTTATTAGCTGGAAAAAAGTATGGAAATTCATAGTAGTGGAGTTAGTTAGGACTTGTATAATTCACATTATTTCTTTTGTTATTACTAAAGCAATGTTTACACAATTAAGTAAAAAATAAAAAAGGTACGATAGGATGATGATATTTTAGAGCTGGAAGATTCTAGGAAAGTCTCCTTTCTGCTGACCCAGCCAGGCCAGTATTTGTAGCTGACATTTTAGGATAGTGATTATGGAACTTGAAATAGATATGGTCTTATTTTTCTCTCTTTCCTTACAAAGATGCATTCCTAATAAAAAGAGGTCACTGTAACTCTCCCACCGAGTTTCTGTGATGACACAACATGATAAACCTAATATTACCTCCAAAAGACACTGTCCCCTTTGGGTCTACTTGCACTTGCTGTCTCAGGGCTTGGTGTTGTTCCTTTGTGGGCTGAATACCAAGATAATCTAGAGCCTGGAAGGAAAAGGACTCAAGTGAAGCAATTTTTCAAATCTCTAAAGGATAAAACTTTTCATTACAACTTTATTTTACAACCCAGTGAAAAAAATCAGTATCAGGAACAGTGACAAGAATTACATGCCCAGAGAGGGTCTGTTGACTATTTATGAATTAATTTTCTATAAAATATTAGCCTGATTCCACCACCACCTCAGTTGTTTTGTGGGGCTTTTTTTCTGCAAGACTAGCACTTTGGCTGATGCCAAATTTATAAGCATAGCCCTAGAACCAAAACTCAATTTCTTAGTTTAAAATATGTGGTATGGTACAGAAGAAAAATAGCAAGGAAATTCTACTAAATCAGATTAAACATTAATTTCTAAAAGTGGCACTATAAAAATGGATATATTTTTTTTTAACATACTTGAGACCAAAACTAAAGTTGATAAATATTCTAATTTTGGGTTATTTATCGATAGGCTTACATAAATAGTAAAGTAGAAAGCTTTCTCTGGAACCTACCTCTCTCTGCCATTTTTTTTCTTTTTTTCCTTTTCTTTTCTCTACCTCAATTCAGTACCCATAGCAGATCAAGTATTCAGAGACTGCTTGTTGTATTCCAATACTCATTCTCTTCTTCTTCTTTAGCAACATAACCACAAGTTTTAGCTAGCAACACTTCCATCCTGCTAAAAGATATTTCCCAGCCCACTTGAGGGCTTGATGAAGCCATGGGACTATGCACTGGCGAAGGACATACAAGGTGAAGTATTGTGGAATACTTCGAGGAAGGCTTTCAAAAGTAGGTGTAGGCTATTCTTGGCTCTTTCTCTCCCCTCTTTGGGCTTAATTAAAAGAGAAAAAAGATGAAAGGAAGGAAAGAAGGCAAGGAGGGTGGGAGCATGCTGGAACTCAAGTAGTCATCTTGGTTCATAAGCCACTTTGGTGGAGCAGAAAGATAGTTGTAACATGGGTCTCTGACCTATAGAACTTCCATCCCAGCCCTGGACCACCTTCTTTAAAGCTTCTTTTTGGTGTGAAAGAAATAAATTTCTAGTAGAAACCACTGTTATTTCAGGTTCTCCAGTTATATATAGCAAAACCTAATCTTAACTAATATAGAGACTGATTAGATGCCCTTACTGGATTTGGGCAAGAATATATTTTGTGTCAATCATATTAAAACAAAAAAGTAGGCAAAGTTTAATATTGGTAATTATTCCTTATAAATTTCTTCCTCCTTCAAAATCTGCTCAGTCATTCATCAGTTCATTTACCAAATATCTATTCAATGCTTACTATAATTGTCAGGTACTACACTATGCAAAGGGGCACACAAAGAAGACACAGCTGCTACTCTAAAAGAGTGATGGTTTCTAGGGTGAGAATAACATGTGAATAAATGTAATTAGTGCAATATGAAATTTAATAGAAGTGTGTATAGGATATACTGTGCCAAAAACAAACTGGTTAATGTATAAGTGGTTGGGCACAGTGAGAGAAGGAGACAGGAGGAAGGAAGAATATTAGGAAAAATTCATTAAAAAGTTATTTTAGAGTTTAGCTAAGTATCATCTGCCTCCTCTGTCTATACAGTCATAAATATTTGCCTTACACAACATAGAATACTGGTTCTTACCATTTCTTAAGAATTTTTTATGTTTATTCATTTAAAAAAAAATTTTTTTTTTCAATGTTTATTTATTT